ATTACTAGGTTTGCAGTAATGCTACAAAATAAAATTTTATTTTTTACAGAAATGAAAAATAGAAAATTCTATAGTGAACCAGTATATCTATCAACATTTCTTATGGTATAGATAAATTTAATGTTTTATTTTACTAATGAGCGCGCGTTCGTTATATCCGGCCGTGTAATCAGAAAACTGCTGTCATTGTGAACACTATACACACAATATTCCTTATCAAGTTAATAATCGTTTCCTAAAATGACACATACGCTAGTTTCCAGTGTTAATACTGTGTGATTTTAGTACTATTTATAATTTCATCTTATTGATATTCAATAGATTGTTAGGTCGACACCTCTCCAGAACCGTCATCGTTAACAGTTTGTCTCGTCCGAATGTGTCAAAAAAACACAATCTTCTCATTGAATTATCATAGAGATATTTTGCTGTGTGCGTGCAGCCAACTTTTTTAGCGTGTGACCGATATTTTAAAATATATTGTAACTTTTTTAGGCGTCTATTTTCGAGATCCATATCTTAGCATGTGACCCTTCAGAGTCATAGTATCGTATCATTTTTATACATATTAATAATGTTTTGAGTATTTTTTATTTAATTTTATTAAATTAATTATATTATAACAGTGATGTATTTACGTACATCTCTATAATGGAATAATAAACAAGAATAATTTTATTGCCTGAATTATTTCAATATTCACGTGTATCTCATATTTTCCACATCTAATAATTTTCCTTAATTCTAAGGTAACATTCTTCGACATACTAATGTGTCTCTACCACTGGTGACATCAAACAAAATGTATTTTATTTTATTTACAAGGTATCGGCATATTATAATCTGCAACAACTTTTTACATTTTGATGTATATATCTTATTATACAATAAAATATTTAAAAATTACTTTACGACGAATGAATTTCAAATATTTAAAAAAAATAAATATCAGAATAAAAAAGGCATAAAAATAAAATTGTTTAAATTTAAACTATAATTTTTAATTTAGCTATTTTTTTTTTGTATTTCTGTAAAAAATGTTCATTTTTTAGCCTTAATATAAAGCCAAGAAAAGAGAAATTTAAAAAAATAATGCTATAAACACATAACATTATATTTTAAAAAATGTTATGAGAGCTAACAATAAATATTTCGTATATGACAATTACCTATTTCGACTAAATAAGGTGTGGTGGTTGGCGGTTTCATCTGATTATCTAAATATAAAAAAATAATAATAAGATTATAATCAATTAAAGTGAAATAATATGCATTAGCGTGGTTAATCTATGAACAGTAAACTACACAGTCGCCAAGTCAAATTTCAATGACAAATGATTAAAGAGGAAAAAAGCACTCGACCAATTTTACCAGCATCAAATTTAAATGTAGCTAGTAATTATTAATTAATAACTTCTTTTATGGTTCATTTATTTATTAGGGGTCTACATATTTTTTTCTTTTTAAGTAACATACATATATTAAAAGATTTAATGTTAGAGAATGATTCAATTAAGAAAATTACTGCTACGACAGCGTAAGTACCGGTAGCTACGCATAGAGCGCGACACCTAATAAGTTGCGCGCAAACCAAACTATTATATAGTTGTCTAATCAAGAGTGTTATATATCATTGAAGTGCGACCGTTGGTAGTTTCTCTAAATCAAATAGGAAACCTCGGTGCCTAATGTAAATATTGCCCAACCATCTATACCCCGTTGTCCCCTTAGAATACTTTCGTCGGCCATTTAGGCTGAACTCCTAAATAGCCACGAGAGGCATGCATTTATAAATTTTGTTTTACCCATTTTAACAGCACTCAAGCTAGTAAAACTTTGTTGTTGAAATATACATTAGAGTAGAAACGTTTTTCTTTTTTAGAATAGTAAACGCCCTAATTTACCCTAACCTGTAACGCCAGTTAGAACACATTACCAACAATTCAAGCCTATTTATAAAAATTTGTACTAGCTATTAATGTGTTTGGAATAACTTTACAAAATGTATAAATGCAAACATATATGGATTCTATTTATAAATTAGTTAAGTATACAAGTGTTCAGTAAGTAAAGAATCAAATCAATTGTTATAAACAATTAGAGCAATAGAAACCCGTCACTTACTGAACACTCTAATGTGATATCATTTTTAAAAATAAAGTTGATATCTCTAGTATACATATACGGGATGAATCGAAAAAGTGCTTAGTAATTGATAATCAAGAAATATACGTTACTAAAATAATCAAAAAAATATTTCTGAAATTATTTTTATTTTATAAGTAATCTGAGTCAGTGGCGTGCCCAGGGGGGGGTGGGTTAGAGGTCATATCCCTCCCCATTTCGTTTTTTTTCTAGCATTGAGTACTTAACAGCAAAAATTGAATAAAGTTGTAATTATTACATTGTATATTTGTATAACAACATTACATTATATCATACAAAACACAAAATATTAATAAATATTTTAATGAGGCTTGACCTCTAAAGCCCCCTCATTAATCTTTTTCTAATATTTTCACCCCTATTAAATGTATTTAGTTGTATTAATACCTATTAGATAAGACATCTCTCCCCATTTAAAATTCTTGGGCACGCCACTGATCTGCGTACTTAATTTAATTTATAAGTGATTTAATATAAACGAATAATTTTGTATGTGGAGGTTGAAGCAAATGTGCTGTAAATTAAATATAATAAATTTTCAGAATAGTCATTTGAAATATTTTAATTCTTTATGAAATAATATATTTTTGATTTAGATAATGCAATAATATTGCCTCAAAAAATTATTTTACTGTATCGTTTATTTACATGATATTTGGAAGACTATTTTTAGTTTACACTCATATAAAATTAGTATTTATCTAAATATGACGTACTATATCCAGAATTAACCTATCAAATATAAAAACAGTGTTCACTTGTCCAATTTTTGTTTATTTAAAAAAAAATTAAAATATTTTATAATTTTTATTGTAAATTGGTGGTATTAAACTTTATATCATTTTACTGCATACAAATTATAATGGTTGGGAAGATCACACTATTTAGTATAAAGGAAGCGAATCATACAAAATATATTAAGACACCAACTGAATAAATTTGACGAATTAAAAAAAAAATAAGAAAAAGATTATGATTGTTGTTTGGGAATGTACAATTTAGCGTTTAGTTGAGTTTAAACAATATAGTGTCAAATCAATTACCTACTCTATCGGTTGTATCTTAATATACACTACACTTAAATGATACTATAAATAAATAAACTCACACATACACACATATGCATTTATAACATTGTGTCTAATGTATAACATGATAAAAAGTAACCGTAAAATGAAAAACCCAGCACAGGGGGTCGCGGCACAGTGGTGACGTGGCATAGATGGATCAAGTATAATGATATCTGACAGTGATTAAAATCACTAACAAAAAAAAAAGCTTCGATGCAAATCTTTAGATAGTGTTTAATTTAAAAAAATTGGTGTATTATTCCAAAAGCCACATGATCTGCTAGTTCCTTATTAATATCCTGATTAAGATATAGTATGTCAAATGAAAAAGAGATTATTAAATAATATTATT